TTCCCCACCTCTTCTGTTCTCTGCTCGGCTGGATCTCCCTGCTTTGGAGGCAGTTTTGGTCTCTCCCCTGGTTCCCTAGGGGGCCCAGGTGGGTCGGGAGGGAGGGAGGGAGCGCAGATAAATCAGAAGGAAGTTTAAATCCACAGGAAAGTTCTCTTCGTGAAAGGGTTTCTGGTTTTCAAGGTCAGAGGGAATTTTCGTGAAGGAAGTACCCTTGAAGGTGTTTTGTTGTCGTTTTAGAACCTTCCCTGCATGGGGCACCACTCAAATAGGACTGTCCCCTGTGGTGTAATGGGGGGCTGCATTGGCCAGTGATTCCAAGGCTCTGCCTTCTAGCAATGACGATCCAAGAGGAGCACGAGTGGCCTCAGGAACCAGAAGCTGCTGTCATTCCCAACCTTGAGCTTGAGAGGAAGACGTGGTTGCCCAGTTCTTCTTTCACTGGGCTCAATTTCTTCCTCTTCTGCGCCCATGAAGTTTTCGTTCTGGGTGGAAATGTGGCCCAGATGTGTGGGTATAACCCCTCCAGTTCACTTTTCTCAAACTCTGCTCCATCTCATTTCTTCGCCCAAACAGTCTAGGGGCAGGAGGCCCTGGGGCTGGTCTTCCTGCTCAGGTCCTTGGTGATTTCTTCTTCTTCTTCTTTTTTTTTTCTTTAAAGATTTTATTTATTTATTTGACAGACAGAGATCACCAGCAGGCAGAGAGGCAGAAGCAGGCTCCCTGCTCAGCAGAGAGCCTGATGCGGGCTCGATCCCAGCACCCTGGGATCACAACCTGATCCGAAGGTAGAGGCTTTAACCCACTGAGCCACCCAGGCGCCCCTCCCTGGTGATTTCTCATCCCTCTTTCTTCCTCCTTCCTTCATCTTATTTTATACTTTTCCTTTTAAAAATGGTGTTTATTGAGTCTATTTACAAAAGCAATCTAAGATCCATATAGGGAATGTGGAGATATGGAGATTTCCCTACATGCCCAGCCCCAGATCAAAATCACCCTTCCCAACTACAGAAAACCAGTGTTCACCTTTTGGTTATTTACTTATGTTTTTTAAGTAAGCTCTATGCCCATCGTGGGCCTTGAACTCATGGCCTGGAGATCAAATCACATGCTCTAGCTACTGAGCCAGCCAGGCATCCCTGGTTGTTGTTGTTGTTGTTATTTTTATTTTTAGATATTTTATTTATTTATTTATTCAACAAGGAACACAAGCAGGGGGAGTAGGAGAGGGAGAAGCAGGCTTCCCGCCAAGCAGGGACCCTGACGCAGGGCTCGATTCCAGGACCCTGGGATCATGACCTGAGCCGAAGGCAGACAGCTTAAGGACTGAGCCACCCTGGTGCCCCTATTTTTTTAAATCATTTCTCTGTCTAGATATATACTTAAGGTTTTTGTTTTGTTTGTTTAAGTAGGCTCCAGCCCAACATGGGTCTTGAACTCATGATCCTGAGATTGAGAGTCTGCATGCTCTACTGCCCCAATATATACTTAATTTTTAAAACTTTTTACTTTTTTTCCCCAAGTCCATTGTTTTATTTATTTATTTATTGTTAAATTTCTTTTCAGCGTAACAGTATTCATTGTTTTTGCACCACACCCAGTGCTCCATGCAATCCGTGCCCTCTCTAATACCCACCACCTGCTTCCCCCAACCTCCCACCCCCAAACACTTTTTACTTTGAAATAATTTTATATTTACAAAAAAGTTGCGAAGATAATACAGCGTTCCCATATAGCCTTCCACCAGTTTCCTCGGACGTTAATGTAACCACAGTACAATTACCAAACCTTAGGCATTAATATGGGTGGAGTACAATTTACTAAATTGCAGATTTTATTCAGTTTTTCCCATTAAGTTCCCTTTTCTATCCCATAATCCAATCCAAGATGCCACATTGTATTAGTATATACCTAATTTTTTAAAAAATGTATATCCCCCTGTGCATGCTAATTCGTAGTCTGCTATTTCCATTGGTATATATCATCAGTTAAAATTCCCCAATGTGGGGACAACTGGCTGGCTCCGTCCGTAGACTATGCGACTCTTGGTCTCAGGATTATGAGTTCGAGCCCCACACTGGGTGTGGAGATTCCCTAAAAATAAAATTTTCAGGGGTTCCTGGGTGACTCAGTTGGTTAAGCATCTGCCTTTGGCTCAGGTCATGGTATTAGGGTTCTGGGATCCAGCACCCCTCCACCCCCACCACAGTGGACTCCCTGCTCAGCAGGGAGCCTGCTTCTCCCTCTGCCCTTCACCCCATTCATGCTCTCTTTCTCAAATAAATAAATAAAATCTTTAAAAAATAATAAAAAATAAGGGCTTCCGGATGGCTCAGCTGGTTAAGCCTTTACTTTCAGCTCAGGTCATGATCCCAGGGTCCTGGGATTGAGCCCTGCATCGAGCTCCCTGCTTACTGGGGAGCCTGCTTCTCCTTCTCTGTGCCGCTCCCCCTGTTTGTGTGCTCACGTGTGCATGCACGTGTCAAATAAATAAAATCTTAATAAAATAAGATAAAATAAAATAAAAATTTTCTATGTTATTGCCATTCTTAAGGGTGGCATCATGTTCCACTATAGGGATTTGCCTTAAATTGCTTACCAGTGGCTTATTATTCTGCCATTGTTTAAATTATTTCTAGGGGCGCCGGGGTGGCTCAGTGGGTTAAGCCTCTGCCTTCGGCTCAGGTCATCATCTCGGGGTCCTGGGATCAAGCCCCGCATTGGGCTCTCTCTCTTGGGAGCCTGCTTCCCCCTCTCTCTCTGCCTGCTTGTGATCTCTCTCTCTCTGTGTCAAATAAATAAATAAAATCTTTTAAAAAATTGTTTCTAGTTTTTCACATTATGAAGAATGATGAGATGAACACCTTGTGCATATTTCTGATACATTATATGATACAAAATAATCTCTGATTATTTTGCCACAAAAGAAATCCCGTAAATGAAATTACTGTGTCCAGGAGACCCATCCCTCTCCCTTCCCAGTCCACAGCCAAGATTTGGCTCTGCTGGTGGCCTTTATACTTCAACAGACTGCTCACCCCTCATCCTGAGGCAGGCAGGGGAAAAAGCAAAGAGGTCCTTAACGGACCACAGTCACTGGATGGTGGAGATGGCAGAACATCAAGGGGAGCCAGAGCCTCCATACCTTCTCAGCCTTCTTCCAGGCTAACCAGCCCCAGTTGGGTATCTGATCTCTGTAGACAGAAGATGATGCTTCTTCTGAGTCCAGGGATAATGGGAAGGGACTGTGGTGGGGGTGGAGCCCAAGCTGCTAATGCATTTTTGCCAGCATCTTTGGTTTCTCCAATATCCAGCCAGACTATTAGCCATTCCCCAAGGATGGCCTTGCTCCTCACGTCATCCCCCATTTCCTATAAATGGGAAGTGGCTAGGGAGTAGGCTGTATGTGTGTGTGTGTGTGTGTGTGTGTGTGTGTGTGTGTGTGTGGTGGGGGGCAGGGAGGGAGGAAAGAGACATGGCGGTTTTCCTACAGTAGACTTCCAGGGGAACTGAGGCCCATAGAAGCTTCCACTTATGCAGAAGGACCCAGCAGTGTGAGAAGCACTATGGGTGTCAGGACGTTCTCTAAGACTCGGAAGTCGCTGGTGAGCCTCTGCCTTGTTTCTGGAGCCCAGAGATGATGGCGATGTGTGGCTGGGGAGTCGTCATTGGACCAAAGGATTGCCTCAGCTTCTTTATCCAAAAATGGTACTGGTGTCTTGAACTGTCATAAGGAAGGAGTGAGCTAAGATATGGGCAGCATGTAGAAACGTAGCTGGTACCATCAGTAATATTCCGTTATTATTATCATGACATGAGGCTGTACCAGCAGAAAGAGGAGGAGGGAGCATCTTCATAGCAGATGGCCCAGCGGGACCCTGTGCCCGGTGGGCAGGCCCTGGTGAGGGCTTCTACCTGGCTTGGTAAAGAAGTTCACCTGTACTTACTCACTCAAGGTGACCACTGCTGAATAGGGCCCAGGATCTCAGACCATGCTGTCTGCTCACTGCCCTGAGCACAAGGCATGAAGCATGTCGGCTCTTGGCCAAAAGTCAAGGGGGCAGAGAGGGGCTGCTTCTCCTCTGAGGCAGGACAGACTTGTCTGTCCTGCTCCCAGAACTGTTTCCCCAAGCCTGGAAAATACCATCGTCCATTCTCTCCTGCTCTGTAATTTTCCAGCTGACCTGGGATTCCCTCTGACTCCAGCCATCTTTTCTGGGGCAGAGGGGACACCAGCTCAGGGACCCAGAACTCTACCCTAGTCTCTCTGCAACCTGGGTATGCCAAAGGCTTGGGAAAGCCACCGGGGCACCAGAGGGTCACCTGTTGGAGGAATGAGTGCTGAGACAGTTTCCAAGTGTCTAGTGACTTTGAAAGTTCTCAACTTTGCTCTGCTCTCTCCTGCACCCCTGCCCCACGGCCACCCCACGGGGGCTCCATTGCGCCTGGCCCCCTCGCCTACTGCCCGCTTTTCTTAGCCTCCCAGCTCCCGTTTCCTTAGAGATGTTCTGGCCAACTGCTTACAGAAGCTCCGGTAGGGAAGGGACTTGCTTCCCATCACACCCGGTTGGTGACAGGGCCAGCACTGGGTCCCAGTGACCCAGGTGCCCAGTCCAGGCTACAGCCAACTAGGCTCTCCCCTTCAGAGGCATCTTGCTGTGATGCGGTGGTATTCAAGCGAAGAGTCCACACACGTGTGATTTCTCTCCACCCCAATACAACGCCACGAAGGAAAAAGGCACAGCTGGGCCTCCCCCACCCCAAGGCCAGCCTGGGCCTCCAGTTCTCTGTCTCCCACCTGCATTGTTCTGCTTTTGTCAAAGGCCTTCTGGAAACACGGGATCTGTTGGGAACTTGCTCAGCAGCCGACAAAGGGGACATTTCACTTCAGCTCCTCACTCCTCTCCCCCAGTCACATCTTTCAGGGGACACCAAATTGAAATTCGGCTCTTAACTTCAAACAGAGGGACTGAGGACTGAGTTAGGAAGCGCTTTCTGCTTCAGAGGGTGGCGAACGGCAGGAAGAGCGACTGGGGGAAGAGGGTGCCATCTCCTTCGAACGGCTGGTCCCGGCTGGGTGGGGTGCAGCTCCGCCCGCGGACCGGCGGACGGCCAGAATAGCACGTGCGGGTAATGGTCGCAGACTGGCTCCGGGGAGGGGAGGTGCCCCGCGGAGCCGGGCAGTCTTTACCTAAATGTTTTGGTGGCGAGCGGCGAGGGGGCGGTGCACGGCCCTAGGTAATGACAGGGCAGGCGGGGAGCCACGCGGGGGCTGCCCGTCTCGGTCGCGGCTACAAAGACCGCTCCGAGACCTCCCGCTTTCTTCCCCCGGGACCAGCCCCACCCCCCCCCACCCCTCCCGCACCCCCCCACCCCTCCCGCACCCCCCCACCCCCGACCCGCCTCGCCTCGCCTTGCCTCGCCTCGCCCCTCCCCCTCCCGCAGCCCCAGCGCGCATGCTCTCTCCCCCCGCCGAGCAACCTGGAGATTTAAAAGCGGCCGGCTGGCGCGCGTTGGGAGGAGGCGGGGGGGACAAGCTCGTGCGCGCCGGCCCCGGGTGACAGCCGCACACCTCGGCCAGGTAGGCGCGCGCCCCCTCGTCTCCCGGGGGAGGGGACCCCCAGGCGCGGGAGAGGGAGCGGGGCCGCGCGGCGGAGCTCCGCGGGGTGGCGTGTTCAGCGCCCCGCGCTACTCCCGGGGGAGGTGGCGGGCCCCGGGCGCGTCCCTTCTGTCCTGCCGCTCGGTCCCCGCGGAGCAGGGCTTTCCTCCGCGGGGGGCGGGTTGGGCTGGAGCGCCGGGTCCCCCGCTGTCCCGGGCCCGGCGGCGGGTGGGCGGGGAGCGGGCCCTCCCGGGAGCCCCGGGCCGGGTGGACGGCGGGCGGACCGGCCGCTCGCTCCTGTTGCAGCTCCAGCGTCAGAGTTTTCTTTGGAAAGTTGCATTTATTTTCTTCCCTTGTCGCGGCTTCGCCGGAAAGGGACGGGATGAGTCACCGCGGCGCTCACAGTCCGGGACTGGGGAGCCGGGAAAGGGGCCGGCGGCCGGGATGCCGTGGGGTCCCCGGGCTCGGGCCAGCTTGCTTGGGCTGAGGTGCGGGGGTTGAGAAGGGAGGGAGAGGTGACCGAGCGATCTCGGACGTTAGTCTTGGGGCCGGGCTCTGGGCAGAGAGTTGAGGCTGGAGTGTGTGGGTGTGTGGGTTCCTCTGCCCCCTGCCCCGCAGCCTCGGTCATCCTTGCGGGGGCGGGAGGGAGGAAAAGGAGAGGCCCTTTTCTCCGCGCCCCCAGGGGGCCTCCGGTAGGGACGGTGACAATGCTGAAATCAGCAAACAGGTGTGATGAGATGGTACCTGGGCATCCGCTCTGGCTTCTCAGGACTCTGGGCTTAGGCAGCGGCATGGCCTGCTGGAGGAGCTCCCGGGGACCTGCGGCGTTTCTCCTGAGTGCGAGCCAGCCCTTCACCTAGTCTTTTGTTCCCCACCCCCCGTGAATTGCTTTTGCCCTTGACCTCTGAAGCAGCTTCCATCTTCCTCACAGACACTCTTGACTTGCTCAGCTTTTCCTCCTCCCCCTGGGCTGCTCGTGCCACCCCACTTCCTCCTTTCTCCAGGGGCCAGAGTTGGGGTTGGGAGGGGTTTGGCATGGTGGGTACCTGGTGAGGACTTGCCCTTCAGCTGTTACACGGACCTGATCCCAGTGGAGCGGACACTAAGAATAGCCCAGCTGCTGTTTTGCTGCCCTGCAGTCTGCCGCGGGGCACAGCCCGGGCACCCAGGCCCAGGGCCACCTTCACTACTGCTCCTGGAAGCCTTGCTCCGGGCTGGGGGTGAGGCCCTGGGGGCCTCTGGCCGCCTTTCCTGATGCACCTAGCAGATCTCCTTTCAGAACAAGCAGCCTTGGTGTAGGGCTCACCTGCCCAAGGCTTGGGGAGCAGACTGGCCTTGGGGGTGGGGAAGGGAGGGCCCAGGAGGGACAGGCAGGAAGGGAAGCCCCGGGGAAATGTGCAGCCCAGCTTCTCCTAGGGAGTGAGTGCTGCGGTATTTGAGGTCACAGGCCCTTCTGTTGGATGGGTCCCATCCCCTCATTCCTCCCTTATCTCCTCCCCCCAGGCCTGTCATGGAGCCAGGACTCTGTTTTTCTAAAGGTGCTCAGAAAAATGGAGTTTGAGTCAGCAGGATGAGTCTGAAGAGGAAAATACAGCTGTGGCTGAATGTACAGCTGTGGACATACAGGCCCCAATTAGAGTATGTGTGTGGGGTGTAGGGGAAGTTTTTCCTATTTCCTCATGGAGCTTGTGGTGAACTTCCCTGCCCCTCCTGGCTCTCGGGTTATCCCGAAGGAGGAGGAGAAAGAGCTGCTCCTGATTCTTGGTGGCCCACCCACATCCTTCCAGGCCACCAGGTGGTGGTGGGTTGGTGTGGAGACCCCTCTCGCAGCCTGAGCAGGGCTCTGGAGGGATAAGGCAGAAACATGGGGATGGTCTGAGGACGCTGAAGGTGAAATTAAATACCATCATTTGGACCATTAGAACCCCACAACACAGCATTATGGGTAAGAACCTAGATTGTCAGAAAGGCTTTCTACCTTGGCTGCTCTCTTGGCTATGGAAACACTGGGTGAGTTACTTAACATCTTCCAAGCTCCATACCCCTGGCTGCAAAATGGGGCTGATAATAATAATGACAATACTTTGCAGCTTCTTTTTTTTAAGTTTATTTAGGTAAGCTCTACACCCAGTTTGGGGCTCAGACTCAGGACCCCGAGATCAAGAGTTGCACGCTCTTCGGACTGAGCCAGCCCGGTGCCCTGTAGCTTTTTTTTTTGTTTCTTAAATGTGAATAGCTAATGGTCTGTAATATATAAAATAGGAAAAATGTAGAGCTTTATTAAATCATGCATACAGAGCACTGGACTTTGTGCCTTAGGTAATAGTAAGTGGTCAATAAACGTTAGCTAGTACTTACTGTGTCTATTACCCAGGACTGAATGGACAGCAGCACCCAGCCTGGGATTCCATGCTTGGGTTCTGCTCTTGTTTCTTTGGGAGCAAGGTCTCCCCGACCTCGGGGAGTCTGTATAACTAGTGAAGAGACTGGCCTCCGGCACCCAGGTGCCCGGATTTCAACCCCGTTTCCTCTTGTGCAAGTTATTTCACTATTCTGTGCTTCCCGTTCCTCCTCTGTAAGGCACGGAGTCACCGGATTCTGAGGGTTGCAGGAGCTGATACAGGTGGAGCTCTGAGCACGGCAGGGGGTGTAACAGAGCCTGATCAATGTCAGCTGTTGTTATCGGGTGACAGTGGAGGCAATATTTGTGGTTTATGCTTAGAAACTGGAGTTTCTGAGCAGGGGAGTGAGACCATATATAAGTATATGTAAACTGTGAATGACCTACTTGCTGTTGAACTTGTGGTCTAGTGCAAAGAACACACCAGGACTGGACATCCTGGCCTGTTCTCCATCAGTACTGTGCGTGACTTGTTTTTTAATCAGTCCAGAAACTCCAGCCCTGCCTATCTCCTCAAGGTGGGCAAGAGTACCAGGAGATAATAGAGGTGAATATGTATCTTGAAAGATTAAGAGCCTCCTCTGCAGAAAGGTTATTTGCTGTGATTTTTAGGGAAACCATATGAGGAGGAGGGGGCATACTGAAGATGGGGTTCTACTCTGTTCCCCCCCCGCACCCGGCCCCCAAGCCCTTTGCTCTCTGATGGCCAGAAGAAAAACCCAGCTTGCCTTTCTTTGAATAGTCAGTGGCCCTGTTTGCTGGGCAGCAAGGACAGACGCTGGACCAGTTGGTGCCAGGCCCAGCATCACGATCACTGATGCCACTTGACTCCCAGCATTAGAGCTGGAGTGTGGAGCTTTGTCTAGTGTATTAAGTGTCCCTGCTGGGGGGGGCAGGAGCTGACCGAGCTGTCACGGGGTGGTCCTGACATCTGGCCAGAACTTCCTATTTAATCCCTTTTCCTACTATGAGGTCTATGTTTCCTCCTCCATGGGAGGAAGTCCACAGTTTTGCCACTGCCCCCGAATGACTTGTAGGTCTTCTTGCTTCTGATGTTGGAGATGGGCCTGCCTCACCTATTGGCCGTGGCGTCCGTGTCTATAAAATGGCGAGGATAATATTCACCGCGCAATGTTACCCTGGGGATTACATGAGATAGGCATGTTTTGCAGAGGGCCTGCACAGGTCAGGGGCTCAGTACGTGTTTGTTCCCTTCCCCTTCTTTGTTGATTCTGGAGATCACTCTCTCCGGGAAGCTGGGATGAGCCAGCAAGAAAGGGTTGGAGAGCAGCTCCTGGTCCCATGGCCCATAGTCCCATAGTCCCTCGGTCACCAGTTTCAGGCCAGACCCAATGCCCAGCGGGATCCTTGCCCTCAGGAGCCAGAGACAATTCCCTCCTTCCCCAATGCTCTTTGTTACCTCTCACCCCAGCCTCTAATCTCGAATATCCTTTGAGCTGGCACGAATAGTTTCCGAGCTGGAACCACACAGCCCATCCCTAGGGATGTGACAATCTAGCTTCCTGCTCCTGGCTCCTGTCGCTGCGAAGAGCCGGGCGCCCAGATACCCCGAGCGTGGCCCTGCCTGAATCCCTGGCAGGCCGTTCATGTTGCAGCAGACAGAAATCCTGATTCAGCCTCACTTAAAGGCCTTCTGTTGAGGACTCTTCCTTCTAGGTCCTGGACGGGGACTGTGGTCCTTGCTTTCCAGGAGCTGAAGGGCTGATGGGGCAGAGGGTAGGGAAGGAGACCGGAAGGACCACTAGCAGCATCTAACCCTGAGAGCTGCTTGTTGAGCGCAATAAGTTTCGGAGGAAAGAGGGGATCCTTTTTTGTTTTGTTTTAAGATTATATCTAGTTGTTTATTTCACAGAGAGAGAGAGAGAGAGCACAAGCAGGGGGAGCGGCAGGGAGAGGAAGCAGGCTCCCCAAGGAGCAAGGAACTGGATGCAGGGCTTGATCCCAAGACTCTGGGATCATGACCTGAGCTGTAGGCAGACACTTGATGGATTGAGCCACCCAGGTGCCCCTGAAAGAGGGGATCCTTGACGGCTTGGGTTCCAGGGAGCCCTAGAGGCTATACGGGACTTGAGCTGGACAGGAGTCAGGTGAATGAGGACATGTCAGGGGGAAGTAACTGGCGTATGGCCATACGTTGGAAGGCCCTGGGGCTGATACATTCCCCCATCTTGGTCCAGATCTGAGATCGAAACCCATTGCCACGATTTTGGGTCTGGTGTTCTTTCCACCATGCCTCACTGGGGAGGGGCCAAAAGGAGAGGTCGGTGTGTGTAGAAGTACCAGTCTCCAGTGGCTGTGTTTTGCAGGTATCTGCCCTTTTCTGCATAGGTCTGACCTGCTCAAGGCTCTGCAACATGGCTTCTTCCTCCAGGAAGCCCTGGGAGAACCGGTCATGCCCTACACCATGGGCCCCCAACTCTAGGGACTTGGGTCTTAGCATTCCCAAAGGGGGCTGCAGGCGGTGGTCTCTGTATCCCCCGCACCTTCATGGTGGGCTTGCCCGTGATTGGATCTCAGTGAGCGTTGGATGGGTGGGTGGGTGAACGAGTGAGCCAGTTAATTTTTGTGCTCTTTGACATTCCTTTGGGGGAGCTTAGGTTGCATGCACTGAGGCATACTTCCTTTAAGCGTGGGCAAACTAGGACTCTTTAATAAAAGAGTCCTTTTTGGAAACCCCCTGCACCCTGCTCACTACTGAGTGACTGGGGTTTTGAGAACACATTTCCATAGGGCTGGCTCTGGCCCAGAGCCTTCTGATGATAAATAGGACTGGTCACAGACTGTAGGATATCAGGGCTGAAAGGGCCCGAGACCGTTGAACTTGAGACCTTAGAGATGGACATCGCAGAGCTAGGACCAGCATCCTGGTCCTCCCAGTCTGGGGTTCTGCTCCTCCGTAGGTCTGTCCAGACCTTCTATCCCCTGCCTCTTTTCTGCGTGCTTGCACCTCCTGAGGGAGGTCAGTCTGCAGGGCGGGGGCAAGGGTTGGCTGTGCGGGATGAGGAGAGCTGCCCGGACTGGCTGGCTGGCTGGCAAAGTTCACATTCACTAGGAGGGAGGCTGTTCAAGTTTCACTTCACAGGGGCCCTAGGAACTGAGAAGGCATCAGAGGCAGAGAACTTCCCAGCGGCCTGGAGACTGTGCCAAGCTCCCTGTTCTCCCCACCCTGGACCAGAGGATTTCTTGGTACCTTTACTCCACGTTGTAGGGAAGCATTTCTTGTGGCCCAAGTAGAGAAAGAATTTACCAATTTCTGCCAGGCAATTGGAGTCCAGCTCTGGGAGGGAGTAGGGAAGAGGGCACCTCTGCCCCCAGATGTCTTGGTTACTTGGCTCAGTCTTGGGTGGCCGCTAACTGCTGGCACTCTCCACCTGGGGGCCTCTCTACCATGGAAGGCTGGGAAAGCCCCCTCCCCAGTGCCATGTGGCCTTGGCAAGTGAGCACTTACCCGAGGGAGAGCACCATACCCGAGGCTTGGGCAGGGAGTGGGATGGGCGGCGGGTGGGCCCGGGATCACTTAGCCGTTCAGTTGTAAAGAACCTTAGACCTTATATAGACTCGTTCTCATTTTACACCTGTGAGTCCCTGGTGTGTGTGTGTGTGTGTGTGTGTGTGTGTGTGTGTGTAAAATGGCTTGTCCAGGCTATACAGCAGCAAAAGTTGCTGAAATTGGACTATTCTGTCCTGGTTCCCAGTTCAGAGCACTTGCCAGCATTTTCGAATGCTTGGAATTAGAGGGAAAGGCATGTCAGGTATCCAGCACGTGCCAGACACCTCCGGACAGCGGCTGTCAGCCACTGTGATTCCTGTCCCTGTGAGCCAACGCCGGGATCCACCCTCGTCCCATAACCCGGGAAGCTTGACTCCACCCTCCATCTCCTTCTCAGCCACCACCCGCTAGGTCTGCAGCAGTGACCTCTCCTCACCTGTCCGGGCCAGCACCTGGGGAGGCATTTGCATTCCTGGCATTCCTCTGCCTCTGGGGGCCAAAAGGGGTGTGAGTGGCGGCCGTGGGGGCGGTGTGGGCAGCACGTGGGTGAGAGGGGAATGCTACCTGAGAAGAAGGGCTGCTAGTCCGTCCTGCTCTGACAGCCGCTGCTCCTGCTGCTCCCCCTTGGCGGTGAGCGTCCTCTGCCCGGTGTCCCGGCTGTGGAGGCCCGCCAGAACTTCCACGGAGCTGTCTCTGCGAGGGGGATGGCATTCGTCTCCGTGTCCTCACCCTGCAAATGAGTGTACACATGATCTCCACCTCATGCAGGGTCCGGAGGGCCACTACCCAGGTCATGTGAGTGGGGGAGCTGGCATGCACACCCAGATCAGGCTGCCAGCAGCAGGGGCACCCTGCCGAACCCCCCAGGGTTCAAAGACCGGGGGCCCCTCCCGGGGGGGTAGAAGAGAGCTCGAGGGTGAAGAGTAACTGGTCACCTGGGGTCGGAGGGCACTTGGTCACGGTGACCTAGTATGACCCTTGGCCGCCACTTGTCCGAAAGGAAGTCTGATTGGGAGGTCTCTGCCTGGAGCCAGATGTGTGTCTGTGCAGAAGGTCACTGCGGGATTGCCAGGTGACCCCTTGGGAAGGTGCTTCACCTCCACTTAGGCTGGCCAGGACTGACTGGCCAAGGCGAGGGTCAGAGCAGCCCCAGAACTCCTGTCACTGGGTTGCAGAGGGGAGGGGAGAAGAGAGTGGGCTCTGGGGACTCCCTGCCCGCCGGTCCTTTCCCCTCCCCTTCCCCCAACCTCTTCGCATTTAACAAAAGCAACTTTCCTCCAAGCCACTGCCACCTGTTGGGTTTTCACACATTGGGGGTGAGTGGGGGGAGGGGGCCGTTGCTCCTTTCCCAGTGTCTGCGCTGTGCCCCCTCTGCCCCCCCAGGGCCTGGGATTCTCTGTGCTGCCCGAAGTGACAGGGCTCCGGAGCCGGAGGGGGTGGGGGGCCTGCGGCAGCTGGAAGGGGAATTGAGTGGGAAGGGGCCAGTGCTGGCAGCCGGGAGAGAGTTTGATGGATTACTCTGCAGGCCGAGAGGTTTCTCCCTAATCCCCCTTTGTGTCCCGGCCTGCAGCCCCCTCGCTCTCTCTGACAAGCTGCTAAGCAGAAGGCTTCCAGTCCGAGCGAAGAAAAGGCAGCGCAGCAGGGCCATCTCCAAATCCCTGGCCCCTAGGCCCTGGGGGAGGCCGGAGCTGGGGAGCCAGTCTGGGCTACGGGTGGGGCCCTCCTCCCCTCACTCCAGCCCTCCCCCTCCTCCTTTCTGCCCATTCCCTCGAGGTGGAGAGGTTGCATCCCGAGCTGGGCGGTCAGGTGGCCAGGGGCGCCCTGCGAAGCCCAGGCCTGGGCTCTTTCTGCAGATCACTGCCTTTTTTGTAGGGGGTGGTGGAGGAGAGCGGACCCGCCCTTCCTGCGAAGTTTGAGCCCGAGAATCCAAGACCTAATGTGGGTATGAAGGCACGCCCCAGGCGCTGTGTCCTGTGTGCCGCCCCTCCCCCAGCTGCCCAGGTAGCAATTCCCAGAGCCCCTGGCCCGGCCCGGGGCTGTAGTGAGAGCTGGTGCCTCAAAGGATGCTCATTTGCAGGGCCCCTGGCTGGCCAGCACAGCCTCTTTCTGGGGCGGCACTGGGCCCCAGGAGGGCAGAGCTCATTTCGGGAGTGTGCTAGGTTTTACCAGTAAAGGCCAAGGACATTGGTCCCCTGGGGCTGAGGCAAGGGGTTGGGTCACGGGGATGCGGGGCTGGTGAACGCCCCAGTCCTATTCCGTGCCCCCAACCTGGAGGGCTGAGAGAACTGGGAGAGCTCAGTTTGGAATGAGATCCTAGGATCCAGTTCGGTGTGGAGGAATGGGGGTCCCCCCCTTCCTGTGTGGGGGAGACTGGCCAGGAGTGGCCCCACCCCTTTCCTGCAGCCCAGTCATTATTCCTGGAGGGAGCCCAGCCCACCCCGTTTCCTTCTCCACGGGAGGGGCCGCCTGGGGGCTGTGAGGGATAGAGGAGCGTGTGAGAAAGCCGGGAGGCTTTATGAGTGTGGCGGGAGGACACAGGGTCGCCGAGCTGCTGGGGTCAGGGTGGATGGGGGCCGAGCTGTTTGATGTGCCTGGGCGGGTGGGGAACGCTGGTTTCTGCATAAAGAGCCCATAGAATTGTGGCCTGACACTGGCCCGCGGCGGGCTGCAGCCCCGGCTCCTCTGGCCTCTGTCCGTCAGCGCAGGGAATCTGCTCCCCCAGCCCCACCTAGGGCGCGAGGGGGGCAGGAGCCCCTTTGAAAGCCCTCAAAGGCCTCTTTATGCGTCCCTCTGACCCTCCCTTCCCGCAGGGAGCCACCAGAAGTGGGCTCTCGCCTTTCCTCCCACCGCCTTCACTCTGTCTTTTGAATTTTGGCGAAAGTTCAGGCCAAGTTTGTTCTCGCTGCTCAGTTTCATTTCCCCACGCTCGCCTGTGGCCGAACCCAGCATGGGGCTTCCTGCTCAGTGGGCTGTGGGTCCCCTCACCACGTTTGAAACTTCAGGAGTTGCCCCTTCTGGGGGTCTGGCCAGGGTTTCCCTGGTGGGGGTGGAGGGGCCCTTCGGTCTTTCCTATCTCTCCCACTGCCCAGCCCCGACCCCAACACTGCTTTCTGCCGTGCCTTCTTTGGGGAAACGTTTCCCAGGTGCTAGGGAGCTAGGAAGGTTGCCCATAGGGCTCCTGCTCCGGGGCTGGGCTCACTGACCAGGCCAGCGGGCTTGCGTTCTGCTCCCCCAGGGATGAGGAAAGATGGCCTGGGGCAGAGCTCCATGGAGGTTCCTGGAGGTCTTGGGCTTCTCCCAGCCTTCTTGCTGTCAAGTCATTGGAGGACAGATACCTAGAACTTGAGAGGGACTCATCCTCCCCGAAGGCTGCTGCTCCTTTCTGGAGGTCAGGCCACAATCCCCTCTCTGTACCCCGCTGCTCTCCTCTTCCTGCTCCCTCCCTACCAGGTGAGTCTCTGGAGGAGGCCGGCTCTTCCGGTGGATCTTCCGTTTGCCAGATGGGCCCAGTGCTCCAGGAGCAGTGGGACAGGCAGGGTACTGGGGAGAATTGAGTTCGGTCTCCGTGCCTGCACTCCTGAGGAAGACAGGGGGTGCCCCAAACGGGGGCTGACAGTCATTGGTCACTTAGAAGCTTTGCTGGGCAGCGTGCCCTCGGGCTGCAGGAGGGAGTGGTGGCCAAGAAAGTGGGAAAGTGGCAGGGAACCACTTGCCTCCCCACCGCTGTGAACCTGGGCTTCTGTGCTCCCGCCCTGGAGGGACGGCAGGTAGCCGGTTAGCACTGAGAGAGTCCTTTGTGGTGCCCTCCACCCTGAGGACCCTGGAGTGGGGATGCCGTGGGGTGAAACTGGGGCTCTGGGGAACGTCCAGGTGGGGGATCTTTGGAAGGGAGAATAGTCTTATGGGCTTGGAATTCCTTAGGCAGTTCTGGGCTGGAAAGAATGAACTCTAGTCTAGGTGGGGCAAGAGTGCCCTGGACCTTGGGGCACAGTTGAAGTCAAAAGATCGAGGATGGGCTTAGCAACCTAAGAACGGAGAGGCGCTCGCTGGGCTTTGAGCCGGCCCACCTCCTACCCAATTCCTTTCAATGAATTCTTCACCTGCCCCCTCTAACCTGGTGCAGCAGGGGGGAAGGGGCAGGAGAAAGTAGGGAGGGGGAGGCCCCTCCTGAGCTATCCGGACTGAAGGAGGATGAAGGGAAATTCCTCTCTTCACCCTCTTTCGTCTTTTTGTCTTTCTCTCTTGTGGGCTAAGAAGGGTGTCCTGCGTCTTCCAGGGAGCGAGGGGCTGGCTTAGGGAGGGAAGGAGGCAGGTGGGGTGCCTGGTGTTTTGTCGCAGGGCTGCAATTTACTTGCAACCACAGGGAGCAATGAGAGCTTGGGAATGTGGGCAGGTTGTGGGTGAGTCTGGGTCTGACAGTTTGCTCAGGGAGGACCCAACAGCAGGTGAATGTCCAGGGCCTGCCCAGACTGGGGGCAGGGAGTAGAATGGGCTGGAAGCCTTTTGACCCAGAACCCCACCCTCCAGGTTGGAGAGTACAGCTCCCTATCTTGGTCTGTGTGCAGGCTCCTGGCTTCCCCAGGGATGCTGTGGCAGGGGAGGGGCTTGGCTCAGAACTGCCCAGCGGGGACTGATGTGTGGCCCCCTCCCAGCCATGCCACCCCCTATTTTACACTCCTCCCCATGCCACCCCCATAGGAGTGCATGCCCCTTCCCAAAGTGGATCGTCAGGGTCTGAGCAGAGCTTTGGGGAAGAGGCCACAAGTTGCCTGGCTTTCCTTTCTGGTCTACTAGGGCTTGGAAAGCAGTTATGGGAAGGACACATCTTCCCCGGATTGGCAGCCACCTGATTTCCCTGTGGCATATCTCAGAGAGCACCTACCACAGGCTTTGTAGCGCCCAGAGAGAGAGAGAACTTTGTAGTGGAGAGAACCAGGCCACTGCGGGCGAGGGGCCCTGGGGGCTGTGGACCCAATGCTATTCCTGGGCCTTTGTGGGGGTGAATCGGTGAGGCAGGGAGGGCATCTAGACTCCCACTGGGAGTGGCATGAAGCTCTGTCTGCACCTCTTTGGGAGGAATGAATGACAAGTTAGGGGATTTTTCTCAGGAAGACCCACCTTCTCTACTCCTCTTTGTGGCTGACTTGATTTTCCCTCTTTCGTGGTCACCCCTAAACAGAGCAGACCGCATTGGGTCCTGTTGTCAGGAAGCAAGAGCTGGAGGCCGATTGCCTGGGGCTGGGGGGCACAGTGTGGCGTGGCTGCCCCAATGGGTTCTCTATGCCCAGGAGGCAGGCCTAGCAGGGAGGGCCGTGGGGACATCTCTGCCGAGAATGGAGCCATTTGGGGAGCAGATAAAGGCTGCGCGGAAAGTGGTGGGGCCTTCCAGCAGCTCCCGGTCACTGGTGTCAGTACGGGCTGGTGCCGTTCGATGCCCCCGTGAGGTGGGGACCTGGGAGCAGGCCCCACTGTCCCATGACAGTTGGGCAGTACACGTGGGAACGTTCTACGGCGAGACTCCAGGGAGAGGTTTGCAGGCCAAGGTTCCTCCAGGGGCGCCCTCTTTAAGTGGTTTCAATGACAGGTTAAAACTCAACCCAACAAACCGCAGCCTCCCCGCCCTCCCCACCCCCTTGTCCTCGTTCTTGGGGGCCAGGGTTATGATGCAACGTGGCTTGTGGCCAGCAGCTCGGGATAGGAAGTGCTGCTCCTAACAGAGGGGAGTTGACCAGCCCAGCTTTGGGAAGTGGAGAGAGAAGAGCAAACACACAGGCTGGGCAGAGGGTCTCCAGAGGCACCTTGATAACAGGGCCTGGGGAACTGGGAATTCAAGTGGTCTGATTTTTTTTTTTTTTTTCTTTTTTCCATACCGGCAGGCAAGGGCAATGGCAAAGATAGTCCAAAACAGAGAAAAATGGACATCTGTTTGGCTCTGGAGTGTGCTGAGGTTTAAAAACGATATTTACCTTATTAGTTATGTCAGCCTTAGGCTAATATTAACATGCATTTCCTGATTGGCAGCGGGGGTGGCACGGCCACTCCGTTGTCAGCCTGGGAGTGAACAGGATTCAGAGAACTCAGAGCAAATCCCAGAGGCCTGGTTCCCAGGATTGCGCAGTCTGGGTTTGACTGTTACTGTCCTTCCAGGATCTGAGGGATGAGCTATGTCCCCACCGAGGCTCCCCACGCCCACAGGCGTGTAGCGTGGCCTGAGAAGCCGGACCTGCGCGGAAGGCTGGCAGAAATGGGCTCCTGGCAGAGGCCGGGGCACTCAGTGGCAGCAAGGAGGAGAGGCCTGGGCATCCGGAGCAGGGCCGAGCCACGGCAGCCAGGGAGCGTGTGAAGCCCGCCATGGTCCAGAGGCTGTGGGCCGGCCGCCTGCTGCGGCACCGGAAGGCCCAGCTCCTGCTGGTCAACCTGCTGACCTTCGGCCTGGAAGTGTGCCTGGCCGCTGGCATCACCTACGTGCCACCCTTGCTGCTGGAGGTGGGGGTCGAGGAGAAGTTCATGACCATGGTGCTCGGTGAGTGCTGCACAGCCTCCTTGCGTCCCGCTGCAGGTCCATGACACCCAGGAGGCAGGGTGACGGTGCCTCTGCCCAAAGAGGGAGAGGCGGCTGCTGGCTCAGGAAGAGCCAGTGGAGGCAGCAGGTTGGGCCCTGCTGGGTGGATGGGTGACCGTGGGCAGGGGTGGGGCAGTGGGTGCCCAGTAGGAAAAGAGCACAGGGACATTCCATGGGCCCCTCAATACCCCAGACCCCTACACATTGCCTGGCACGTAGCAGACACGGCTCTTCCCTTAGTTCAGCCCTTTCTATCTGTTACTCATTTAATCCTTGCAATAGCCTTTGGGGTCCCCTGCTTCATCAGTCATGGAGGCTGATGAGCAGTTGGGTGACTTAGGCAGGCTGGAGGGCTAGTTACCGATTAGGAAGATCAGGGTCTCCCAGCTAGGGCTCTTTCTTATTCCCTAGGGCCCAGGCTGGGCCCCGACTGCGGATGTGTTCTGCAAAAGCCACAGAAGGCAAGAGGTCACCCTGGGGCGGCTCCCAGGATGCCCGGGCTTGGGGGGTGGGGTCACACTGCCTGTTGAAACCCTGCCTCGTGCCCCCCACCTCTCCCTCGGCCCCTGTGCTCCAGGCTCACTTACCGGTTGTTCCGTCTATCATTGTGCCCATCTGAGGATGTGGCGTTAGTGGTCCTGGCTGCGAGGGCTAACCTAGAGTCTGTGTGACATATCCCATACCATGTCGAGCAAAGAAGTGGCCCTGCGTGTGGTGGTCATTTCCGTCCTCCTCCAGGAGGAGGGCCACCCCTTCCCCACCACTCCCGAGGGCCTCAGCCTGTGGCTCATACGACGTGTCCTTCCTGCAGGCATTGGTCCAGTGCTGGGCCTCATCTCGGTCCCACTCCTAGGCTCGGCCAGTGACCACTGGCGTGGACGCTACGGTCGCCGGAGGCCCTTCATATGGGCCCTGTCCCTGGGCGTCCTCCTGAGCCTCTTCCTCATCCCGAGGGCCGGCTGGCTGGCGGGGCTGCTGTGCCCGGACGCCAGGCCCCTGGAGCTGGCCCTGCTGATCCTGGGCGTGGGGCTGCTGGACTTCTGCGGCCAGGTGTGCTTCACCCCGCTGGAGGCCCTGCTCTCCGATCTCTTCCGAGACCCAGACCACTGTCGCCAGGCCTTCTCCGTCTACGCCTTCATGATCAGCCTTGGGGGCTGCCTGGGCTACCTCCTGCCCGCGATCGACTGGGACGCCAGCGCCCTGGCCCCCTACCTGGGCACCCAGGAGGAGTGCCTCTTCGGCCTGCTCACTGTCATCTTCCTCACCTGCGTGGTGGCCACGCTGTTTGTGGCCGAGGAGGCCGCGCTGGGTCCGGCTGAGCCGGCGGAAGGGCTGGCTGTCCCCTCGGGGCCGCACTGCTGCCCGTGCCACACCCGCCTGGCCTTCCGGAGCCTGGGCGCCTTGTTTCCCCGGGTGCACCAGCTCTGCTGCCGTGTGCCTCGCACCCTGCGCAGACTCTTTGTGGCCGAGCTGTGCAGCTGGATGGCTTTCATGACCTTCACACTGTTCTACACGGACTTTGTGGGCGAGGGGCTGTACCAGGGCGTGCCCCGGGCTGAGCCGGGCACCGAGGCCCGGAGACACTATGATGAAGGTAAGTCCTCAGCAGCGGGGGGCGGGGAGGGGGCTGCTGTGAGAGATCCCCCCCACCTCCAACTCCAGGGGACAGCCCGGTGTCGGGGGAGGCCTGCAGTCTGTGCAGTCTGAGCCGGCCCATCGCTGTGCATCTAGGTTCCTGATTGTTCCCAATTTCCTGGTCAGGACAACGGGCCTGTCTGTGCACGAGGCCGCCACAGTGGCTTGCGGTCACAGCGCCTCAGGCCACGGAGAGTTTGCTCAGAGTCATTGCTTCCATTTGCCAGAAGAAAAGGCTCAGCTTAGTTAAGGAACAGAGGGGGCAGAGGAGACCAGGCCGCGTCTCAGGTCCACCTGGCCCCAACTTCAGCGTGCCCTCTGCTCCCCCTGTTGACTCTCCCCCTTCCCTGGCCAGACCTTCAGCTCAGCGTTCCCGAGCTCTGTCCTGGAGCCAAGGGCAGAGCTGTCTTTGGGTTCCCTCGTACCGTCTTAGAGAGCCGAGCACTAGCTGAGGCCCCGAGCCACCCTCAGGACGTGGTTCCCTGCCCTTAGCTGGACGACCGGCCGTGGAGGAACCTAGACTGCATGGGTGGCAGTCGGGTGGGCTGATGCCGGGGGAACGGGCCTGGCCACAGTTCTGAGCCCTCCCCAGTTTGTACCAGCCTCTTCCTGCTCGGCCGACTTCTTCCCTCCCCCCGCCCCCCAACAGGGGTCCGGATGGGCAGCCTGGGGCTGTTTCTGCAGTGCACCGTCTCCCTGCTCTTCTCTCTGGTCATGGACCGGCTGGTGCAGCGATTCGGCACCCGGGCCGTCTATCTGGCCAGTGTGGTGGCCTTCCCCGTAGCTGCCGGCACCATGTGCCTGTCACGCAGCGTGGCCGTGGTGACCGCGTCGGCTGCCCTCACCGGCTTCACCTTCTCCGCCCTGCAGATCCTGCCCTACACGCTGGCCTCCCTCTACCACCGGGAGAAGCAGGTACTCACGCTGGCCGCTGGGTGGGGCGGGGGTGGAGGGCAGCCGGAGGATCCTGGCCAGTGTCCGGCCGGAGAGCTGGAGAGCGAGGAAAAGTCCTTCTTTGACTGGAGAGGAAGCCGTGTAGCCCTGGGCCAGAGACGTGGGCTGCACGGAAGGAGGGTGTAGATTAGATTCTGGGAATGACTTCCTGGTGTCAGGACTATAAAGCACTTGAGTGGATAATTGCAGGAAATGCTAACTCCTTCTTTGGGGATCCAGAAGAGTTGGGCTAGCGGAGGGAGGCGCTCAGTCTGGGCTGGGTTGTTCTAGGCAGAGGTGGGGTAGGGGGCGCTGTTCAGATGACCTCCTGGGCTCCTGGCTTCAGCCGCCCTGAGTGGTGCTGGTCTGGCCTGGGCAACGGCTCTCTTTATTCAGGGAGGGGCACTGTGATGGGCCCTGCCCCGCTTTGGTCTCCAAGAGGGAGAAGTGTCCATACTACCCCTTCTCTTTCTGGTTTATCTTCTTTTTCTGCCTAATTCTCTCTTTTCTTTTCCTGCCTCACACCCTTGCCTCTGTCCCCTGCCCCACCCCGACAGCGGGTCTCTGAGCCCAATGCACCTGGCACGGCTCACCCGGCCACTGTAAGTTGGGGGCCTCCTTCCTGCTTGGCCCCATGCCAGCCAGCCCCTCCAGGGGCCCCGTTCTGTGGGAAGCCTCTCGACCAAAGCTGTGTGGTCACCTTTGTCCCCTTCACAGGCCTCAGGGAGCTCTGCCCAGAGGGTAAGAAGTTGGAGTGTCCTGAGGGAGGAGATGCAGGCCTGCCCTCCTAGAGCTTCCAGACCATAGGGAGGAAGTTTGTCCACCGGAGGACATGAGTGAGGTAGCGGAGAAATGGCTAGCTAGGGGGGTGGTTAATTGATTAGGCAGCTGCAGGGGTGGGGCATGTGGACGGAGGGGCCAGGGTTTTGCTTGGGGTAGCCCGGTCTCTGAGGCCCCTGTCAGCACACGGATGACCTTCATTGGCCCCCATTCTGCTGCTGCCCCGGCTGGGAGCTTGGGGCTGGTGTCCAGAGGCCAGGCTTAGGCACGTGCACTCGTACTCAGGGAATATGCTCGGGCTGGTCTTCCCCTCGAACCGTGGAGTGTGTCTAGCCTTGGGGCCTCTTGAGGCTCCAGGCCCACTGGTCTTTCTGGGGGTGGCAGGCGGGGAGGACAGGTCCCGGGACGCCCACTCCAAGAAGCAGTTGATGGCACACTTGGCCACGTACGCCGTCTGTACTTGCCTTGCCTACTTCTGGCCACCCCAAGAGGTGTCTGCTTCCCTTTTGAGCTCTGCCAGGGGTCCCAGCTTCAGTGCAGCCGACTCAAGAACCCATCCACGTTAGGCGCTAGTGGGCACAGGGACATAGGGGATGAATTCTGGCCCTATCCTTAAGTAGGGGGTTCTGACACACAGTGAGAAATAAGTAAGAAGGGCTTCAACATTAGCCCATCTAGGCTGAAGAAGTCTGGAAGATTCTTCTTGTTCCTCTCTTCCTCCAGGCTGAGTCTGTTGGACCTTCCATGTCCTGAGTCTGGGGCCATGTGCCTCACAGTACGGCCTGGGACCCCAGTGGGAGCAGAGCATCTCTCTGCGAGGTTGAGGAGTATGTCCCAAGGCAGAGTGGTGAGGGGCAGAAAGTAGGAGGGTTAACCCCGTGTGTGGGCATTTGGGCCCTCAGGGGTCCCATTTTTGGATTTTGTTCCTCTGTTCTTACACATCTCTCTTCTCACCTGTCTTCATTCTGTCTTTTCCCTCTACCTTGGGGTTCCATTCTCTTCCTGACCTGCAATTGAAGTTTCTCTGCCCCTTCTGGTTCCAGGAGAGGCTAGAGGAGACCTAGACTTCTGGATTCAGATCTGTGCCCCCCATCCCCTGCCCTGGAAGGAGAGTCTTCATTAGACCCAGACGAAGGAGGGTCTGGCCTGCTGCACAACTGTCATTGAGGCTGGTGGCCTGGCTTCTTCCAGCCTCTGGTGTGAATGCTGGGGTCTCTTCTCAGAGCTGGGATCCTGTGCTTGGATTCCTACCTCTCCTGTTCCCCTCCTCCCCAGGTTTTCCTGCCCAAATACCGAGGAGATGCCGGAAGCAGTGTCAGTGAGGACAGCCTGATGCCCAGCTTTCCACCTGGCCCCAAGCCCGGATCTCCTTTCCCCAATGGACACATGGGTGCTGGAGGCGGCGGCCTCCTCCCTTCTTCACCTGTGCTCTGTGGGGCCTCTGCCTGCGACATCTCCACGCGGGTGGTGGTGGGCGAGCCGCCTGAGACCAGGGTCATCCCGGGCCGGGGCATCTGCCTGGACCTTGCCATCCTGGACAGTGCCTTCCTGCTGTCGCAGGTGGCCCCGTCCCTGTTTATGGGCTCCATTGTTCAGCTCAGCCAGTCTGTGACTGCCTACATGGTGTCAGCTGCGGGCCTTGGTTTTGTGGCCATTTATTTTGCTACACAGGTGGTATTTGACAAGAGCGATTTGACCAAATACTCGGTGTAGAATCCCTGTGACCCACTGAGGACCCTGCCTCCCTGGGTCCCAACCCCTCCCCCACCCCCCACAGTGGATCCAGGTGGCCCCCTGGGGGGGCCTTCCAGTTTGTCCCTGCCAAAGTGGTGTGGCTCTCTGCTGCCACCCCGTGGCGGTGAGGTGCAGAGCTGCACAGGTAGGGGACTGGGGCTTCTCTTTCTCTCTCTCTCTCTCTCCAGTCTTCCGGGCTGGCTGACTGTTGGTCCAAACGGGCTTCAGTCTGGATTTCTCCAGGGAGGCCAGAAGGGTAGGGCATTTCCTTAGCTCCGTGCACTGGAATGCGGGACTCTGCAGGGAGATGACCCAGGCAGGGTTAACTGCTAGTGTCCTGGTGAAGACATACCCAGAGAAGGGATTTGGAGAGCTCAGTAACCTCGACCACCTGGTCTCTCATCTCCAAGCCCTCTTATCCCATAGATTCCTTTGATGTTGTCTTGCATGGAAGTTTCTAGTATGAAACTCCTCTGCAGGATTTGAGACTATGAAAGTTATTTGTGGGGAGAGAGGAAGCCGCCTGGCCGCATGGCACTGCCTTCTCCCATCCCCCAACAACTACATTTGATCAGGACATGGCTTGTTGGCCCCTATGGTGCCATCATAGGGACACAGGCCTTTAAATATTTAACTTATTTATTTAACTAACTAGAGGGGAATCAATTCCCAGCTCTGCCATCTTGGTGTCTCAGAGGTGAGATCCCCAGTGGGCCCCGGGAGACAGCTGGTTTATAGGGCTGAGCATTGCCAGAATCATCTTCCCTTGGGTGATCAGTCTGGCTCTAAAACTGCCTAACCCAGGAGCTTGGAAGCTCTGCTTACCCAGCTGATACCCCAAATCATGTTACCCAAGACTGGGGGAGCTGGGGGTGAGTGGAAGGTGGGGCTCCGGGTCTCAGCAGCCCCCCTAGCCTCCCCTCCTCTCTTGGCCCAGCCCCCCCCCCACCCCCACTCCTCCCCTCTGCTCTCTCCAGGGCTGGACTGATGAAGGAGCTGCTCACCCCTCCACCCCCTTTCCCCACTGACTCCATAACCCTCTCCCTGGGGCTGTTCCAGGACCGGAAGCACAGAGTGTGGCTCCTCGAGCTTTTATCCGTCTCAGCCCCCAGGGCATATCCGTGCTTGGGGAATCTTGCACGGAAACTCAGGAGTACCCCCTGCCTGGGCTGAGGAGGTCTTATCTCTGGGGGGTTTAAGTGCCGTTTGCAATAATGTTATGTCTTATTTATTTAGTGGAGTAAATATTTTATACTGTTTGTGAGCAATCAGAGTATAATGTTTATGGTGATGAAATTAAAGGCTTCTTATATGTTTCGTTGGCCTGTGTTTATCTTTCCTGAGGGGGAAGGATCAGATCTCTCTCAAATTATCCTCAGCTTCCTTCTCAATAGGGATTCTGTGTGGGCAGCTTCAGTTCCCAGTGTCACCAGCAGATGGAGCCATAGACCAGTACTCGTCCTATCTTTGGCGCTTGGGCTTGGATGTGCTACCCCTTGGATTGGAGAGTTGCTGGGAATTTGGGGGTGGGGGGCAGGGAAAACATGGAGTGCAGGAGAGTGGGAGCATTATCTTTCTCAAAGGGCTCATAATGTGGCCAAAAGTTGGAACAAGCACCCACTATCAACAGCAGCAATAGGAAGAAGGAAGGAACCTGGCCTGTGCGGGCTCGGATTTCAACGTCATTGAGCCTTGGTTCCTGTCTCCTTCACCCTTCCTGCCAGGCTGAGGGTGGATTCAGAGTCTTCCCTGCTACGCCATCTCTCTCACCTTTCCAGACTTGGCTGGCCTTCCTGTTCCCAGTCCTCCTGGAACAGTGTAGTTAACACCTCCTCAGTGTAGTTAACACCGTGTGCAGGAGCATCTGTGTTCGGGGCACTGGGCTGGCTCAGTGGTTAGAGCACGTGGCTCCTGATCTTAGGGTTGGGAGTTTGAGCCCCACACTGGGTGCAGAAGTTACATTTTTTTTTTTTTAAGGACTAGCTTTATTTTTAAGATGTTCTATATTTTATCCTAAATAATTAAAATCTTAAAAAGGGGGGGGCACCGGGGCACCTGGGTGGCTCAGTGGGTTAAGCCTCTTCCTTTAGCTCAGGTCATGATCTTAGGGTCCTGGGATTGAGCCCCACATCGGGCTCTCTGCTCAGCGGGGAGCCTGCCTCTCTGCCTACTTGTGATCTCTATCAAATCAATAAAATCTTTAAAAAGTGGGAGGGCACCTTGGTGGCTCGGTCAGTTGGTGTCTGAGTTCAGCTCAGGTCATGCTCTCAGGGTCCTGGGGCCCAGTGGGGAGTCTGCTTGTCCCTCGGTTCCTTACCCCTGCCCTGCCTCCAGCCGTGCTCTTGCTCTCAAGTACATAAATAAAATCTTTAAAATATTCTATATTTAACTTTGTGTTCTGGAAAATCTCAAACATACATGAATAATGAGCCCGGTACAATGAACCCAATTTTAACAATTATTAGCATTCTGCCATTTTAATTTTATCTACTCTCCCTCCCCAACACATTGAGGGGGAGGTAGTGTTAAAGCATACGGCAGACACAATTTCATTTCACTTGTAAATACTTCAGCGTGTGGTTTGTTTTGTTTTTTAAGATTGTATTTATTTATTTGACAGAGAGAGATCACAAGCAGGCAGAGAGGCAGGCAGAGAGAGAGAGAGAGGGAAGCAGGCTCCCTGCTGAGCAGAGAGCCCGATGCGGGGCTTGATCCCAGGACCCTGGGATCATGACCTGAGCTGAAGGCAGAGGCTTTAACCCACTGAGTCACCCAGGTGCCCCTTCAGCATGTGTTTTAAGAAGTAGGACTTTTTAGCAACTCACAATACTATGAACATAGCCAACAAACAGCAATTCCTTATTATCACTGATTACCCAATCCATGTATAGTTTTCCCCATTTGCTCAAAAAATGGCGTTTCCCCGTTGGTTTGTTCAAATTGAGATCCAAACTGGAAAACGTGTGTCTAGCAGCCGTATCTCTGGTTTCTTTTCAACTGTAACAATTTCCCTCTTTTTAATTTTTTTCTTTATGCCATGCATTTGTGAAGAAAGCGTCATGTTTTCCGCCAGAGTTGTCCACATTCTATGTTGGGTAACTGTATCCTCGGTGTTATTGAAGATGTTCCTCTTTCTCTCCTTTTTTCCCTTCTGAGCTGGTGACAAGATCCAAAGGCTTGATTAGATGCGTGTTTGATTGTTGCATCAAAAGGACACAGGCCTTTAAATATTTAACTCATTTAACAATACCTCTGTATACTTCTACATAATTTTGAAGCAGATTTCATTCCATTCACTCATACTTCATTCTAAAGTACATCAGAATGTTTTTGGGGCGCGTGGGTGGCTCAGTCATTAAGTGTCTGCCTTCAGCTCAGGTCATGATCCCGGGGTCCTGGGATCGAGCCCCGTATCAGGCTCCCTGCTCAGTGGGAAGCCTGATTCTCCCTCTTCCACTCCTCTGCTGTGTTCCCTCTCTTGCTGTATCTCTCTCTGTCAAATAAATAAAATCTTCTAAAATTAAAAAAAAAAGTTTTTCTACAAGGTAAGGACTTTAAAACAAAAAATATAATCCTATTACTATAATTAGACCAAAAAAATAATTTCTTAGTGTAATCAAATATCTAGCGTTCACATTTCCCTGTCTCATGATTTTGTAGAGTTTTTGCTCAAATTGGAACCGAAATTAAGTTCCAGATGTTCCAATTGGCTGATGTGTCTCCTAGATCTCTTGTAATCCGCAGGTACCTCCAAGTTTTCTTTTTTTTTTCCTTGTCAATTGTTAGAGAAACCGGGTTATTTTCCTACAGATCCTCTGGATTTTGTGGATTACATTCCCAGAGTGACATTTCACATGTTATTGCCCCTGTATTTTCTGTAAATTGGTAAAGTCAGAGACCAGATCAGATCTGATTTGTTTGTTTTTGTAAGAATACCTAATAGGGGGGCGCCTGGGTGGCTCAGTGGGTTAAGCCTCTGCCTTTAGCTCAGGTTATGATCTCAGGGTCCTGGGATCGAGCCCCACATTGGGCTCTCTGCTCAGCAGGGAGCCTACATCCCCCCTCTCTCTGCCTGCCTCCCTGACTACTTGTGATCTCTGCCTGTCAAATAAATAAATAAAATCTTAAAAAAAAAAAAAAAAGAATACCTAACAGCTGTGTGTACTTCCACAGAAGGGAGCACGGGCTGTCTGGCTGTCTTTTCTTTTTTGATGTTCATAGTCCCTGATTTCTTTACTTATGCCCGTTATTTCACAGACAGTGGAAAATCACATTTCTTCAAAAAGTGCTTGACTCCTCCCTTGTATTTACCAGTTTTCAAAATAATGAATCGATTCCCCAACTTCCCGGATGCCGCCAGGGAGGTCTGTTCCCTTCGTGTCATTATTCATTCGTGGGTTTAAGCATGTTTGCCGGCCTTCAGCCCCCCACAGCTGTTGTGCACGGCCGTGTTGCTCCTACTGTTGGCCGGGGGGAGCCTCTCCAAGTCGATTTCTGAGTCCTTTCTCCACACCATCTTATTTGGTCCCCAAAAGCTTCTTTCGTTTTCAGGCCTGATTAGATGTCCAGGCTCATCTTGTATGTTTCCTGCCACGACTCGGAATGAGCTATCTCTTCTGAGGGTCTCTGATTGCTTTTTGTGGGGTAAGGTTTTTGGGGACCATAATATCTGCCTCAGGAGTGCCCATTACTGGGTGCATCATTGGTTTTAGGCCTTTCCAGTGGACAAAGCTGGGGAAAATTTTAAAACGTAAACACATTGCGAGTTTATACTGATACTTCCAATTCAAGTTCAAGACTGTATCACACACACACACACACGCACACGCCCGCATGATTTACTTCTCTAATTTCTCCCACGCTGAAACAGGCCTGGCCCAGAGGCTTTTAGAGTCTGCCGGTGTGTGGGGGATGTAGGAAGAAGCAGAAAGAACCGCCCATCCATCCATGTCAGCCTGTCTGTGCTGGAGCGCAGAGCCTGGCCCACCGGCTGGGAGCCCTCCTTGGCTGGTACAAACCGTTCCAGAGTACACCGGAGGAGACTGCAACACTTGGGAGCAGGAGACCGGGGCTCGCGGGGCTTTTTTTTTTTTTTTTAAATTTATTTGACAGATCACAAGTAGGCAGAGAGGCAGGCAGAGAGAGACAGGAGGAAGCAGGTTCCCTGCTGAGCAGAGAGCCCGATGCGGGACTCGATCCCAGGACCCTGAGATCATGACCTGAGCCGAAGGCAGAGGCTTTAACCACTGAGCCACCCAGGCGCCCTTGCGGGGCTTTTCTAGCTGAAGTATTCCATATCTGGGACTGGCCACGCCAGCTCTCAGGCCCTGGGCCCTGCGTTGGGAGTTCCTCAGGTTTTCAACTACATTCCTTGCAGAAACACACTTGCTAGGAAGGCCAGGGGAGGAGAGAAGCAGGGAGAAAGGGGACTCTGGAGTGGACGGAGGAGGACGCAGCAAGTAGCCTCAAAGACCTCCCCACCGGAGTCACCCAGTCCTCTCCACTGGGGGTCTTAGACAACTGCAGTCTGGCTCTGCCCGTAAAGACCACTGGGGGGCACCTGGGTGGCTAGGTCGGTCAAGCATCCTGATCCCAGGGTTCTGGGACCTGAGTCCCCAAGTCATCAGGCTCCCTGCTCAGTGGGGAGTCTGCTTCTCTCTCTCCCTCCGCCTGCCATTCCCCCTGCTTGTGCTCTCTTGCTCTCTCTCTCTCTCTCTCTCAAATAAGTACATAATCTTAAAAAAAAAAAAAAAAAAGACCCTTGAATTTAGGTGAGAGGAACAAGCACTTGTGAGTCAGATGTACCACCATGTATGGGGCAGGATATGAGTGGAAAATACAGAGCAGAAACCGGAGAGTTTAGAGGAGGGAAAAGTAAGATCTTTTCTGGGGTGGAGAGAGGAAGGGCTGGACTATTCCACAGCTGGCTCCCCCGCAGAAAGGGACGGAGCCCTGGGTGCTAGCTTGTGGTTTGACCTAGGAATTGGAGAAAGGGGGGCGGGGATGGGGTTAGGTGGGTGGTGCCCCGTCCCTTGTGCCTTCATGGGTCTTCTTTTGGGCTTGGGGTGCCTGTGGTTGAAGAGCCAGTTCCAGTGGGATCGGGGAGCAGAAGGAGGAGAGTGGGGAACAGCCGGTGGGCGGCTGGGATCTCGGGTTACCGCTTGTGCCATTGGGGAAAAAACCCTTGGTTTCCAGGGTCAGATTTGATTACAGCAGCCTGGCCCTCTCGTCACCATACTGGCTGGAGGCCCGTTTGAGAAGGGGACTTTCTGACACCCAATACTGTCACTGGATCTCTGCACACAGTGGGAGGCATGCCCCG